CGACAAAATGATGAATTTAAAACCGAAGAAAATAAAAGAAGAGCAGAAGCTCTTAACATTGAACGACAAAATGATGAATTCAGAACGCAAGAAAATGAAAGAAGATTGAAATCACTTAAAATCGAACGTGAAGACAAAGAATACAAAGAGGAAGAAAGAATAAGAAATGCATTAAGAATGCATAATAGTAGAGATAAATACAAAAACAATTTCGATGTCATGAAGTTAAATTATGAGTCAAAAATAAAAGAAGGACCAACTCATATTTGCAGCTGTTGTGGTGGTTTATGGTTTGAATATTCAATCAGAGAATTCACAGTTGAGATGTTGAGAAATAAAGGATTACCAAAAGAATTTATTGATACAGTCTGTTATCTCAAAAATGCAATCATTAAATTATGTGTTACTTGTAGAAAGGACATTATGTCGAATAAAGTACCCAATCTTTGCCTATCTAATGGTTTAGCATTCTATGAAATACCAGATTGTTTGAAAATCTTGACTGAATTAGAAGAACGATTAACATCACCAAGAATTCCTTTTATGGTGATTCGAAGTTTAGATTCTTGTAAACAATTCGGTCTCAAGGGTAACCTTGTAAATGTTCCCATGAATGTTGACACAAATGTTTCAATATTACCCAGAAGTTTTAGCGATACTCACACGATTCAATTGAAACTCATGAGACAAATGAAAAATAAAAATGCTTTTATGTATGAAACAATTCGACCAAAAGTTGTGCATACTGCTGTAAAATATTTGGTTGAGCAAGAGTTGTATAAAGATGAAGGAATTGTGATATCTCATGATTGGCTGAAAGAATATTCTAACGAGAGAGAGAATTTTATCATCGATGATGAAGACAAGAAATTCGATGAAAATGAAAACATCAGCAAAGATTTTGATGACGAGGACAAATGGAATGAATGTGACGATAAACCAGTCAATCCAAGTACTACTGAAACATTATTAAATGACGAGATTGATGATCAGAATGATATTGGTATCAAATTTGCTCCAGGAGAGAATAACAGGCCGATATCGATTTTGATGGATTTAAAAGTCGATGAATTAACATTTCCGAAAATTTATTGTGGCAAGCAAAGAAAAATAAAAGCGAATGTTAAATTAACTTATGCTAAGATTGCCAAGTCAGAATTAAGAATGTTTGATCGAAGATGTGGTAGAATATCGAAATTGTTGTTCACATATAAGAAACTACAAACGAGAAAGTTCTCCGATGCTATTTCAATAAATTTGAGAAAGACAAAAAACATAACTGTTGCACAAATGCTCAATCGAGATTATGTCAATGGATTGATTCATAATGATGATGCTTTTACATTCTTGAGATGTGATCAATCTTCACCAGCATTCTGGGAACTAAAGAAAAAGGAAGTTATGGCGATGATCAGACAGTTAGGATGTCCAACATTATTTTTAACACTATCAGCAGCAGAAACAAAATGGGAAGATCTTATTGTAATATTGACTCAAGTGTTGGAAAATAAAGTAATAACAGTGGAAGAGGCAGAGAATATGAGCTATGAAAAAAAATGCGATTTAATAAAACAAGATCCAGTAATATGTGTTCGTTATTTTGAACATAGATTAAAATGTTTATGGGAAATATTATCGGCTTCTTGTGGTCTATTTCGATACTATGAATTAGAAGACAAATATGTCAGAGTTGAATTCCAAATTCGTGGCTCACCACATATTCATGCTCTAATATGGTTAAAAAATGCTCCAAAATACGACAAAAATAATCCTGAATCAATTAAAAAATGTATAGAATTTATTGATAAACTGATTTCAGTTAGTTCGAAACCAACACAATTTTCTGAAGAACTTATAAGTTTGCAACGTCATAAACATTCACATACCTGTAAAAAATATGTGAACGGTTGTATTAAATGTCGTTTTGGTATTCCATATTTTCCGATGAGAGAAACTATGATTTTAGAACCATTTAGTGACGACGAAAAGTTAACTAAAAAAGAACGTGAAGAAATAAGTAAAAAGAAGGAGAACGTAATGAAAGAACTTGAAAAGATATCAAAAGATATCGATAATTCATTAACTTTTGATGAATTCTTGGTACATATTAATATGAATGAAAAAGAATATATTAAAATGATTCGAGCTGACTTAAAAAAAGCAAAGGTCTTCTTGAAACGTGCTCCAAATGAAATCCGAATCAATGCATATAATCCACAAATAATGTCATTACACAGAGCAAATATGGACATTCAATTCATTCTTGATCCTTATGCATGCTTAAAGTACTGTGTTGAATACATCAACAAATCTGAAAATGGCATGTCTAAACTTCTACGAGAAGCATTGAACGAGTTAAAAAAAGGCAATAACACAGTCAGAGAACGTCTTAGAGTTATTGCAAATAAATTTTTGAATTCAAGTGAAATTTCTGCACAAGAAGCTGTTTATCATATTTTAAGTATTCCACTTTCCATTAGTAGCAGAAGTACTGTTTTTATTAATACAAACAGACCTGAAAATAGAATTTCTATGCTCAAATCAGATGAAATTCTTCAAAAATTGGAGCCTGATTCAAAAGATGTGTTTGTTGAGGGCTTAATTGAGATGTATGTTAATAGACCTGACGAAATGAAAAATGTTTGTCTGGCTGATTTTGCTTCGATGCATAATATTTCAAAGAAAAAAACAGATAATGATCGAATTATAGAAAATTCTGATGACGAAGATATCACTGAAAATGAAAGTGATAATAAAATTGCTCCTATGAAAATGAAAAATGGTAAGGGTTGGATTAAAAAAAGGACAAAGAAAAAAATCATAAGATACAGATACTTTAAACTACATCAAGATCCTGAAAACTATTATAGAGAGCAGCTAATGCTATTTCTACCATGGAATAATGAAGAAGAAGATCTTATTCATATAAACCATGAAGAGAGATTTGAATTGTATAAAAGTATAATTCAACAAAAAAGATCTGAATATATTCATCGTGAAGCTAATGAATTCGAACAAGCTTTAGAAGAACATATGGAAAAAAAAGAAGATGACGATGATATTGATGATGCAAATATTGAATACGATCAAGATAAAAATGAATTTCTCATTTATGAAATAGGAAATACTGAAGGTGATATTTTTGTTGAAATGGGAATAAATACTCGAACTGAAAAAGTCGAACACTTTAATGTTCCCAAAATAATACTAGACACAGAATATCAACAAATGATGAGAAATCTTAATAGTAATCAAAGGAAATATACTCTAAACGTAATGAATTTGATTAAGAATGGTGAAAATCAATTTTTTC